CCTTGGGTTCAGAATAAACAGGCTTTGCTTAGACGTGAGCTTCCTTCTAGGCTTCCAAGATATGTTGCTTCAAGCAGTCCACGACCATATTCTCAACAATTCTGTCTCTCCGACACAAAAACATCAGAATATAGTCTTCGGGCACGTCAAGCTTCACACAAACACTCTTAAAGATTTTGTTGATTTCTGTACAGCTCTCCTTCGAGCAAATTTGTTGACCTTCCTCATCAGACCAGATTCTGTCAAAGATCCTTTTATGAATTGTTTGAATTGATTCTGGTATAGATTGGGTAAATGAAAGTTTAGTAGCGTGCTCAATAAACATCTCAACAAGCTTTCTAACATATTGTTTAGACGATTCTAGTTTGTCCTGACAAGTCACAACGTCCAATCAAAAACGTGCTTCAGGTGTCTGCGCAGTCCCATCAGAGTTAACGTCTGCTTGTGAGTCGAATGGCTCGATCTTCAAAGACAACTCAGAAAGGTTGTCATTTCCTAATCTGAACTCTGGATTTAAAGTGGTCCTACTAAAGGATTCAGAACACTCAGAATGAATGTCACTAACTGAATCGATCTCTGGAGATAAATTTCTGCCAAACACTTTGCGAACAAATGAAGCTAAGCGTTTAGTGATGGACGTTTTCTTGGACTGTTTAAAGTCATCTACCTTTAAACTGTTAAACATTATGTTCATGGCAATTAAGTCTAAAAGATCATCTTTTGTGAATGTTATGTGATCACTTTTGAAGTCGGCCTCGATTTCCTGGAAGAGCTCACTTACCATCTGAGATTCCTCTGGGTCAAACTGAGCAACAGGTTTTTGAAGGGCAAAACTATAAAATGATTCCATAAGCTCAGTAACTAATTGTTCTACACTTTTCTCCTCTATGCAGACATTTTTCTCCTCTATGCAGACATTTTTCTCCTCTGACCAAGAGACTGGCTTAGAAAAAGCTTTCCGTACAGATGACGATAACCTTGAGACGATGTTTGGTTTCTTGCACAGTTTGAATAAACACTTCTTCAAACACTTGACAATTTTTCTCATATCAGCTGGGTCTCTGAGAGACATTTGGAACAGAAGATAGTCTTCTTGAGCTTCAACTTTCTCACATACCGTAAAAAACAGTTGTTTCATTAATTCCTCCAGATTTCCTGTGAACGTTATGTTCAGATCTTTAATTTCAGATGAGACTTCCTCAAAAAGCCATTCATTCAACATCTGAATTATCTTAGGGTCAATTTTAACAGGCGATTCTTCAATAGCTATATTAAGAAACGTTTGAATTGCTCTAGCAATAAAATCCTTTGAGGATTCACAATCCCTGCAGTCACATCTAATAGATGATTGATTAGGCTCAGGAACAGATAGCTTAACACGTTCCCCCTCTATGCAGACATTTTTCTCCTCTATGCAGACACTTTTCTCCTCTATGCAGACATTTTTCTCTATGCAGACACTTTTCTCCTCTGACCAAGAGACTGGCTTAGAAAAAGCTTTCCGTAAAGATGACGATAACCTTGTGACGATGTTTGGTTTCTTGCACAGTTTGAATAAACACTTCTTCAAACACTTGACAATTGTTCTCATATCAGCTGGGTCTCTGAGAGACATTAGGAACAGAAGATAGTCTTCTTGAGCTTCAACTTTCTCACATACCGTAAAAAACAGTTGTTTCATTAATTCCTCCAGATGTCCTGTGAACGTTATATTCACATCTTTAATTTCAGATGAGACTTCCTCAAAGAGCCATTCATTCAACATCTGAATCATCTTAGGGTTAATTTTTAAAAACGATTCTTCAATAGCTATATTAAGAAACATTTGAATTGCTCTAGCAATAAAATCCTTCGAGGATTCACAATCCCCGCAGTCACATCTAATAGATGATTGATTAGGCTCAGGAACAGATAGCTTAACACGTTCCCCCTCTATGCAGACATTTTTCTCCTCTGACCAAGAGACTGGCTTAGAAAAAGCTTTCCGTAAAGATGACGATAACCTTGAGACGATGTTTGGTTTCTTGCACAGTTTGAATAAACACTTCTGAAAACACTTGACAATTGTTCTCATATCAGCTGGGTCTCTGAGAGACATTAGGAACAGAAGATAGTCTTCTTGAGCTTCAACTTTCTCACATACTGTAAAAAACAGTTGTTTCATTAATTCCTCCAGATGTCCTGTGAACGTTATATTCAGATCTTTAATTTCAGATGAGACTTCCTCAAAGAGCCATTCATTCAACATCTGAATTATCTTATGGTCAATTTTAACAAATGATTCTCCAATAGCTATATTAAGAAACGTTTGAATTGCTCTAGCAATAAAATCCTTTGAGGTTTCATAATCCCCGCAGTCACATCTAATAGATGATTGATTAGGCTCAGGAACAGATAGCTTAACACGTTCCCCCTCTATGCAGACATTTTTCTCCTCTGACCAAGAGACTGGCTTAGAAAAAGCTTTCTGTACAGATGACAATAACCTTGTGACGATGTTTGATTTCTTGCACAGTTTAGATAAACACCTCTTAAAACACTTGCCAATTTTTCTAATATCAGCTGGGAATTTGCAACACATTACGTACAGAAGCTTGTATTCAGGACTTTCAACTTTCTCACATACCTCAAAAAATAGTTGTTCGACTAATTCCTCCAGCTGTCCTGTGAATGTTATATTCAGATCTCCCATTTTATTTGAAACTTCTTCAAAGAGCCATTCATTTAACATCTGAATTCTCTCAGGGTTAATTTGAAATTTAGATTTTTCAATAGCTATTTGAAGAAATATTTGAATTGCCCTAGCAATAAAATCCTTCGAGGATTCATAATTCCCCCAGTCAATATCTTCTTCAGAAGATATCATATTTTTTGGACTAAACCCTAGATTATATTCAGGGTCCTTCATGATTTCATCCATGGTGGGAAGTGTTTGACAGAATAAACTCTTGAGTGAATTATTAGACAATGAGGCTAGATGTTTAAACAGTGTTGCCAACTGGTGTTGACTGAAAGTAGCTGAAGTTCCCCCCAAAAGTCACTATATGTTACGAGATGACGTCACGTGCTAATTTGCATACGGCGCAATGACGTCACCACGTTTGCGTCGTGACGCCACCGGTCTTGTAGAGTAAACATGAGAGTAAATCAAATAAAACCCGCGTGATTTTATTAAAAAATTATTATTTTTATATTTTATTAAAATAAAAAAAACATAGAATACAAAACAGCAGCCTTTAAAACATCAAGGAAAGATGGCACATAAAAATTGAAGGAATATTTCTATTTCATCTGAAGAGAATGGAACTTGTCTTCACCCATCGTCACCCGCGAGCTACACATGTAGGGAAATCTGTCCCACTTAAACACCGGCTTTCAGCCACTCCCCCTGCTGCGTCCGTCTGCTCTCGTCTCTTTTCCAGGCGAGGCGCTGCTCAACTCGAACACGACCATTGACTCAGCGTAATGCATGTGACAACTTTTGTTTACTTTTGTTTCTGCGCATGCCTGTAGCTGTCGTCCATGGATCGTAACCTAGGTGAAATCCTCTTTATACTGTTATATTGACTTTGGGTGATATCGCCCAGCCCTAACTCACTCACTCACGCATTCACTCACGCATTCACTCACTCACACACAGCCAGAGACGTGTGGGATGAACCGGAGCACCTGGAGAAAACCCACGCATACATGAGGGAGAAAATGCTAACTTCACATGGAAAGGATTTGAACCGGCGGTGACCTCGCTGTGAAGCTAAACTTTCTACATCGTCTCCAACATGCAGCCCCGTTTTTTCCCCTCTGGCAGTGTGTACACACACACACACACACACACACACACACACACACACACACACACACACACACACACACACACAATATATATATATATATATATATATATATATATATATATATATATATATATATATATATATATATATATATATATATATATATATATATCCCACACCCATACCCTGCCCCTGCCTCCCCACTTTCTGGCTGGAGGGCAAGAAGCCAGCACCTCCATGTTGACCACCATTGGTTAGTTGTCAATAAACAGCTAAATATCAGTGAAATAAAATCTATTACCACGGTTAACACACATAGAGATGTAAACTGCACAAGCAGATGAAAGGACAGTAAATGTAAAATTTTACAGATTTCCAAATGATAAAATATGCTGAAGGCAACGGTTTCCTTTTATTTATTTATTTATTTATTTTTGTTCATCTGCACAAAGATGTGCTAGAAGATCTAAAGTAGTAATATCAAAATCCTTAAGTTTTATTCTGTTAGTTTAAATCATGGAGCTACAGCTCTGGATAATGGCTGGAGACGGGGTTCTTGCCCCAGCTTTTGTGAATGTACGCAGTTTCCTGGATGTAAACGATAACATTCAAGGGGTCAATAATCAAGCTGTCTTTGTGCATCCCATTTTCTCTTTCTTTCTGCAGGTCTAGAAGCACATTCTTTCATTCATTATTTTTTAACCTCCTTCCCCCACATACCTCTTCCTTTCTCTCCCCCTTTCACTTTCACTTCTGTCTCCGTGTCCGTTGCGATTTAAAACCACCGAAAATATTTCATATAAAGTTTTGTTGTCGGGTGCGGCATTATAGCAGAAGCTATAATGCTCCACCTGTGAGAGAAAAACTGTAAGGCTTGTCTCCAGCATTCAGACATCAATTCTGATAGCTTCACAGCCAGACAGGAAACGGTAAAAAATAAATTAAAAGATCAGATCAGAACGAAACAGCTAAGCTGCATCAAATGTTCCATAAAACCCCATATATGTATAAACAAACCTGAAACCATGGTTCCGCCTTTGAGACAAGAAGAGAAAAAACTTTTAAGGCCTGGACTTTGACCATGAGGCTTGCTGCCTCCCCCTCCTCCCCCCACGTTACCCCCTGGCCTCTAACATGAGCAGCGCCTCCACCTCACATGGCAGAGCACATTCATCTCTGAGCGGGTTAGACACAGCAGCTGAACGACACGTTTTAGTGTTTTAACATGAAGGTTTTCGCCCTGACTTACCATCTGCCAGTCACCCTCTCTCCACCGGTACCGAGAAGGACAATCTGCGACGCGGCAGCTCTGGCTGGACGGCGGCCGGGAGCGATGAGGACAGCCGGTCTCCAGAGGGCTACGACGCTCTCCAACCTGGCAGAAAACCTCCCGTCTCTGGAGGCCATCCCCACACGAAGCTGAACACTAAAACAAGGTAAAACTTCAATAGTCTGAGTAATTTTATTATTTCACACAATTATGTTATGACTTGCTTATAATAATGTGAACTATTTGAACTTTTTTTTTATTATTTGAACCTTCCAGATGTTAGAAGTTATGCAAAAACATCTTTTTTTTCAGTAAAACTTTTGATCTAACTGCAGCTTTGACTCCATCTTTTATCACCTAATCAGAGTTTAGGGTCTTTAATAGTTTTATGGTGTAAAAAGATAGGATTAAAATTTTGGACATGTGCCATTTTATTAGATAATAATGAAAATCGTCTTGTATAAAATGACATCACCTCAGTTTCAAAGGTTTATATGCTAGATTTACCGATACCGTTTTTAAGGACCAATATCAATTTAGGGCTTTTGTGCAACACTGAAACCCATTTTTGGTTATTTTCTATTTACCTCAACTATAATTGATGAACATTTTTCAACCTAACAATCATTCTGAAACTAAAAAGGCCCATATGAATGATTTATTTTTCTACGAGTGTGAATGAGTGCTTAGATTTTTCCACGTTTGGCTACTTTGCTCACCAGTTAAGCCGAATATCGGCTGAATATCGGCTGATTCCAGTCACCTGTAATTTTTGATGCACATCTCTTTCATTCATTTATTAAATACATAACTGGTCCTCAGAACGTCACTGAAGCACTGAGGTGTTTGGTTAAACCTGCTTCTGCCAGCAGTTTAGAGTCAAAAAGTTATGTTTATGTATGGATGTTGATCATTTTTTTCATTATTCAGCTACTAATGATATGTTTATGGATTTTCAGAATAAAACAACACTTTCAGTTTTCTTTCTTACAGATGTTGCTGCTTCAAGTCAGTATGGACTGCAATGCAATTCTGTTGGATCACATTTAAACATCTGTTTCTGTGTTTTAGTTTAAAATGTGCACACGAATCAAGAAAAATATACAATTTCCCAAACTGTGTCTCCAAATGTGAGGAGCATTTTTTGTTAGGGTTACATTTAATTATTCATTGTTTTGTTCTTTTGGCATGTGTCCTGCTCCAGAGCTGTTTTAAGGATAAATGCATCCTCTCTTGGCGTATGGAGCACATTTCTGTGTCTGTGCTCGAATCTGTGAGGTGAATTTGTAGAAAGAGATGGAGAAAATGAAATAAAATGAGTTAAAGAGGGGAACAAGCACAGCACAGACACCCAGGTGCATTTTGTGAGTTTGTCTGGCTCGCTGACGTGAGCAAACAGCCTCAAGGAAAAGACCAACATGTGGTTCCCATTGTGGAGGCTCAGGCAACAGCGAGAAGATAAAAGACAGAGAGGAGAAGAAGGTGAGGGACAGAGGATGAGGGATAGGTGAGAGGGGGAGACTTCCAGTGGACGTGAGCTCAAAGACAGGAGTTCACATCCCTCCAACTGTTCGACTGTCTGTACTGAGGTGTCTCATCCACACCAGCCTGCACCATCTCAACCTCTCTGTTCTCTGACAGCAACAATGTGAGGTGTACAGGCTCCCTATTTCGGTTGTTAGAGTAGTTCATAAATGTTGCCAGGCCGAGCTGCAACATGTTTCAAACACATGGACATCCTTGGGAACAAGCTAAGCATTAAACTGTAAAAAGCAAAAGGAGGTGGGTGGAAAAATGCTGACATGTCTGGCAGCGTGAGAACAAAAAGACGTGTTTTTGTCCAAGAGTCCTAACCTCTCCCCAGCTGCCAGTCTTCCACTTGGGGCATTGTCCACCTTTGCAGCGCTTCTGCTTGCTGGGTTTGGAGGACAAGCGATGACAGCTTTCCTCTGGGATCGAACGCCCGGACCCGTTCACACAGCTCACCCTACGGGACTTGAAGCCTCTTCCGCAGGAGGCAGAACACTGCAACATAGAAGAGGATTGGAAAAGCAGAAGTGTGTTTTATTCTTAAGGGTTTGGTTCAGAAAAGGGTGAATAGTGAAAAACGTATATCACAAAACTTAGATGTAAATGTGCATGTTGTCCACCAGCACAGCTGACCCGGCAGCAGTTTCTTTCATGTCCGGTTCGCAGAGTTACTGACAGTCTAACACACGGCGAGACACAATCACACAGACACAGCAGTGCTACAGGACGGAGTGGAGCTGGGCTCGGATTATCAAAGGGGCGCTGCACGTGGGGATGGATATGATGCGACAGGCTCAGAGTTGAACGAGTACACGGCCCAGCGTGTGGTTTTATCCTGACCGGCAAAGGACTTTAGAGGACAGGAACACGCTGCAACCTCTCACCCCACCCAAAGGGAAGGGTTCTTACAAAGGAAGGAGCGTGTAAACCGTATTCTTCTTCACAGTGAAAAGCAGTCAAGGTAACCTGAACGTGCTGGATTTGTGTGAATCAAACTAATGAATGAAATGTTAACTAAAATGTTCTGAAGTGATTGTTTGGGCAATATTGTGCTTAAATGAAAATAAAAATGTTTTATTGTTGTTTTTGTTTCTTAGTGAAACGATTTCATGAATTTGAAGTTTTCACTCAGATGTTATATTTTTAATGCCAACAGCTGGTGCGACTCCAGGAAACTGCTCTTTAAGAGATTTCCAACAGTGAAACTGGGATTTCTAGTAAAACGTTTAATCAAAGCAGCACACCACCAGATTGTTCAGATCCAATGTGGGCTCAGTTCTTCCTTCACTTCACTGACTTCTTTCTCTGGCACAGTGTTCAAAATGCCCATGGGAAAAAAGAAATGAGCCACTATGCATTTCTACATTTTGGGGAATGTGAGCCCTTTGTTATTTTAAACCCTGATAATTTCCCAGAAATCTGCACGTGTTGATAGGACGAAAATCTGGGAAAAATACCTCCATCTCAGATCAAACGTGACCTCTGACCTGCCAGCGCACCACTGTATATTCTGGCTGACACCTCCTTTTGTTCAAGCCACTGTTGCTGACCCCCACACTGGCCACTGACACACATTATACCAGAATAAAGAGGCCTATGCGAATGGGGGTTGGGGGAGGGTGTTCAAAGGCTGATAGCAAGTTCAAAGCTGGGCTGGCACCAGTGAGCCCCTTCCCAGAAAAAGCAGGGAGTTCATGAGTGAATGAGCACAGAGAAAAAGAAATGGGAAGTTTGTCGAAGCAATGCTACACAGGACAGATTCGCCATGATGGAAGGAGCTTTGCACTCGTGGCATACACATTCAAATGAAAAGGTCAGCAGAAGTTAACTTTCCAGTGATTGGTCTATAGTTTCATGAAGAAAATAATCATCCAGCTGGTGAGTGGGACCGTTTCACAGAAATGTAGTTATTTTTTTCTATTATTCCGTAGCTAGATACTTCTTTATCCACACATTCTTATTTACAATAAAGCATGAGCTGATTTGCAATATAATTTATTTATATATATATATATATATATATATATATATATATATATATATATATATATATATTCAAGCCATTCGAGTTTCCAGTGAGTTCAAATTTGTTTAGTTCCATATCTTGCCTGGTATGCATTTTGGTCTATAGGTAACAAAATGTTTTATTTAAGTAAGAATGAAAAATACACCTTTGACAGTACCTGTATTTCACTTTAATCCTTTCTGGAAAACCAACAAATCCATAAAAAAAAATTAAATATTGACAACATCATAATGAATGCACAATAAATACAGATAATTACATAAATATACAGAAAAATTCTTGAAACAGACTAACACCGCCATTGTTGTACATGAGACGTACATTGTCCTTATTTCAAAAGCCTGTTGATATGTTTGTATGAAACAGTACTGCTGTTAACATCCAGTGAATGACCACAAATCAAAACAATTTATCACTAAATAGGAAATACAATTTTTCTAATGCTTAGACTTCTAATCACACACGTGACTCGCTAAATGCAGTAGCTTTAATTAGTAAATGATTTGTGGTGAATGAAAAAAAAGTTTTTCACTGTTTTGTCAACAGGCTGTTAAAATAAGCTCTGATGTCAATACAGACTTTTATGACCAGGAGTCGGCTGCTGGCTGGGATGCTGGCACAGCCACCCGCAGCCACTGGTTCTAGAACTAGATTAATATTCATTTTGCTCCAAATTAATGGAAAACGTGAAAATATTAAAGAGATGTAACACCTCAGGTCTGTGTTCAGGACCATTGAATGTGCCGCATAGCTCCAATAGCTCATGCTTAATCTTAGAGCATCAAATTCCATCCAGGGCAGGGAATGAGTTAACTTAACCAAGACTGAGGTACACATCAGGTTGTTTCAGAATAAGAGCTCCATTAATATTCCCTGAGCTCATATTAATCACGTTTAATATTCAACATAACAATCCTTACTCTTAAAACATTGTTGTAGTTGACTTATAAGACAATTTCTTATTGTAACAAAGTCTGGGATACACTTTGATCAATGCACAAGGTCATAACATCGCAGAGCAGTGAACATCCAACTGCCAGTAGAGCACAAACCAATCCAAACATTTCCTTCGTGATGCATCTTCGTTGTTTGGCTAAAGCACCACTGAAGTGTAGGCTATCACTTTTTAATGGCTAGTTGTGTTGTGTTTTGTTTCAAGTGAGGTAATATTGAGTATATTATATACTAACATACTAAGCAATCTCTAAGACAACATAAAGGATTGTTAGCACTCTTTAACTTGCTATTTTGCCACACAAAAATACCTGCATCATAAATTCTAATGACCACAAACTCAGCGAGACACAATATTTTACAGCACTCATCAGCAAGCATTTGTTGGTGTTTGGTGTTTTTACAAGACATTTCAGGCCCTTCAGTTTGTGTTATTTTTGGGTCTTTTACTGGCTTAGGCCTCCTTCACACTGGATGACAACCTTGCTATGAAATAAAAATCTGCCCGAATGTGGGTGGTTCATGCACGGTCTTGGCGTTTTCTTAACCCTTTGGTGCATAATGGTCACTACAGTGGACAGGTACTCAAAATTGTTATTCATTTGTTTTTGCTATTAAGCACAGCTGTTGAAGATTTTATTGCATTTGAGCCCCTCCATTTGGACTTCAGTAAGCCAAGCCAACATATTTCATGCTCAGAATGCACGCTGCCCACTGAAGTGGACATGTAATAAATTATTTGTAAATTATAAAATTTTACAAAAAATATTTGTTGAAATTTGTTTCATTCACACCTAAAGACAAATAAAAAAAAGTTAAAAAAATCATGGTTGAAGATTTCATAATTCATGTATCAAAGGGTTAAGGCGCTTTGTAGGAACACAATGAGCTCCAGGAAACAGGAGCTGAAACTGAAAGTTTGCAGCGATTATTTTCTAACAGGTTAACTATTTGATACTGTTCACATGTCCTCACCACAAATAGCTCTCAGAGTGACATTGCTTTTAGCAGTTAGATCAGTGTTGTAATGTGGCGTTTATACCTTATTCAAATCAAACAAACCAACCAGAAATTTGGATTTAAAAAGGTATAAAAAGTTAGTTGCAAGTAGATCCTGTCATGGTCCGTGCCAGCCTGTAACCCGGTTTTCTCCTCTGAGCATTGTTTTCAAAGGTGGGCGTGTCTGAGAGCTCCCAGCTGCAGCTGATTTCACCATCAGGCCCAGGGGATTTAAGGAGCAGTGTGACACTTCACCACGCCGGATGATTACTCTGTTTGCATGTGATACATAGTAAGATTATGGTTAATCATTATAATGATGGCAGCGGTTCTGAGTAGTTTTGTGTTATGCCAATCACAGCACTCTCTGTTCAGTGGGCCAATCACAGCACTCTATCTGTTCAGTGGGCCAATCGCGGCACTTCATCGGTTTGGTGTGCAGGATGTTACTGACTGAGAGGAAAACCAAAGCTAGCGACGACGCATTTGAAATGGCTTTGGCATCATTTTTGGACTATTTAGACTTGGGCATTTCTTTGAATCAAGAGCAGATATGGTTACTTAAAGAAATACTATGCAACATTTTCTTGAGCCAGTATGTGCTAAAATGACCCTTTACAGGATTAATGAAATGTCAATTCTGTGGCCAGAATATTCAACATGAGTTTTAAGAATGTGAAGCTGATATGCCCTGCACTGCTTCCAGCACGTTTCCTGCATGTTGTAGATTATGAACACAGCTGATTTGTTTGATTTAGCAATGAATCACTCCTGTAGAAACTAATGAAGGCTTAGCTAACATTTCAGCTGTTAGATTAAGGTGTTAAAAAGACAAACACACAGCAAAGAGACAAGTTTCACTTTTGGTTTTACTAAACGGACACTAGGTGGTGTTAAAAGCAAGTAAAAACTGCCAAGTCTGCCTTTAATATCTTTGACATCTGGAGAGGCGAGTACATCACATTGTCCAGTTGTATGCAGACACAGTTTTATAGCTGTTAAATCTGCCCTCCCACTGAGATCTGTTTATGGGTCATGACCAAACTATATATTCACATACATAGGATGGTTTTCCAAACTACTAAGCACTAGTTTCAAGCTTACACTGAACTATTTCAAATAATTTTGTCCCGGTCTGGGTACTGCTCTGTTTGTTTCTTCCTGAGTTTCTTCCCTGCAGGTGGGTGTGGCTGAGACCCCCCAGCTGTCTGGCATCATCATCACGGCACCAGAGTATTTAAGGAGCAGCGTGACTCTTCTCCACACTGGTTGATTACTCAGTTTGGGTAGATCGGATCACCAGTCCTGCACTTCTGTCAGCAATCTGCCTGTTTGAGTGTTAACCCGTTTGCCCGTCTGCTCAGGTTCCCATCTGCTTCATCTACTCCTGTGACAATAACCCCGGATCTTCATACCACGTCTCACTGCCCTCCTCTGGTCGCCCGCTCTCAGTCCCCCACTTGCCACTACCTCCAGGGTCTTCCACTCACCCAGACCTGACTCACCTCCCCCCGCTTCCCTTCATCCTGAAAAACGTAAGCCTCAGCGACTGTTCATATCCTCCTGCCATCTGCCCTCTAAAACTTCTCAGCATACTCACTCTGTTCTCCTCTCTAGATCCCATCACGCCGAGGACCCGTCCTCCGAATCAGCCGTTATCCCTGCTTTTTTGCTGCGCCCTGAGTTCTCGTTTATTCTCCCCCTTATTTTAATAAATCTTATTTATCTTACCTTCCGTTGTCCTTGGTGATTCTGTATGTCGTGGGTCAAACACCTGGTACCCAACATGACAAATTTACTTGAAAAATGGAAGTGTAATGGGACATGCAATGAGGGATGCTTCTTCTTAATTGGTCTTCCCTTAGGTGTGAACATAATGGCCTGACCCTAACCCAAATGCCTGATGAACCTGAGATCTACTACTGAGAACGTGTCCAAAAATTGTAGTGCATCACCAAACAATGCCTTAGCTGCTACTAAAAATATAATTTTAACAAACTTTTATTCTAAACAAAGTAGATCAGACCATGGTTCTTGGCTATATCTACTTGAAACACATTCCATGCAGATCTTTACTGGTGCAGCTTAAGTAGTCATTTGCAGAACCATTAATAGTAATTTTATAATAGCAAGATTAGCCCTGGAAATATTCTCCATTATAGTTTAGTTTCACGCAGATTTCATTTGTTTGTCAACCTGTTTAGCTTGTTAGTTAAATAGTTATCAAAAGTCCTTCTGTACTACTATAGGGACCCTGAGATTTGTGTCCGTTTGAAAATCAACGTAGCTGTATCTAGACGTCGTTGGGTGGGACAAGGTCTGGTAGGGAGTGATCATGTGTGTACTTGGAAGTAGGGCTGGGAGATACGACTGAATATTTCGTCTGTATGTTAGAAAATATCTATTGTTTTATATGAAGGTCTATCGTTAACCCATGGTTAGGAGTTTTAGCAGTAACTTACTTCGCGATGCACCTTACAGCCCATGGACACTAGCCATACAAAAACAAACATAGAAGAAATATGGTAGCTGACACGGTTAAGACCAGCGTAATTTTCAACAGGATGACATGCCGACCCAAACGGAGGAATTGGAACTAAAAGAAGGTCATCTTCTGGTGCACGAATGTGGTTGTGATGTAGGAAGCTACATGGAAATGAGCTATATTTGAAATTTTATGATATTTTTGCCATAACGCCCAGCCCTACTTGGAAGGATCTTTGTGAGTTTCAGGTGTAAAGAACATTGAAGGGAATGCTGAAAGAAAATATTTGGTTGGTACAAATATGTAGCACCACCCTGATTGTGCTCTCTGAAGGAAATTAGCTGCAATCAATCAAATATTTAATAGGTCATGGCTGGGCACAACGGGCTTGGCATCCAGGGAAGGTGGCCTTGTTTGCCAAAGGCAAGTGCATAAACTGTAAAACATTGTGTCCTATTAGGATTAGTAACTTCTCTAGAAACCACATGTGCCTTAAGAATATCTGAATTCAAAATTTACACAAAGCATTTTGAAGATGTGTATAAAACATGTTTACATAGTACACAGACAATGTTTTATGCTCCTAAAACAAAACTTTAAGGCTATATGGTGTAGCACCTCATGACTGAAAATTATGAGCCATTCTTTGGATAATAATAGGCAAGGCATTGTTATGCATATTCCTGATATACAATAAAAGTTCAACGTATTTGCATATGAACAGTGATTGGCTAAATGGGCGAATACAAAGAGCAAGGACACAAAATTAGTCAATTATTAAAGTTATTTCTATATACATCAGATCAAAGGGAAGTAAAATATATTTATTTACCTTAATAAATTATCTTTAAAACAATATTTTACAGAACTAACTTTGATCATGATCATGATTTTTTTAAACTATTACAAAATGAAAAACTGTTTTATCTATAATAACTAACAATAAAAACTATTGTGCTTGCAGCTGTCTCTGAAGTTTGTTGTAAAGATTAGCTCTTTTTTGGACTTTTGGTTCAAGCATAAAAGACATGAACTTTTCTAAATGTCTCGAAGAAATCCTGAACAGTTGCAGGCACTCAAGAGGGAGCAGGAAGTAGATGGGATTTATAGAAAACTCAAGGAAGCTGGAGCGTAACACCCACATTCATCCTGCTTCGTTCAAACACTTTGAGAGAGTAAAAACTACAGCAGCTTGAGAATGTGAGGTTGGAAACAAAGAGTATTTTTTACGAGCGTACCGAGCTCCATTGGTCCGTGCTCCAGTGAGGACTCGAAGGACACAGGTGAGTATTGCACTGCTCTTGGTCTGGTGGCTTGTCATGGATCTCGCAGCTCAGATCACTGAATTGCTCGCCGTTTGGACGATGACACACCACCTGCCTCGTCTTTATCCCACCGCCACAAGTCTTAGTACACTAAAGACAGCGGAAGAAGAGATTTTTGTTACGTAAATTTGACAAAAGTGTTTCGAAAAATCAAGCTTCAGTAGATTTAAGGATTCTGAAACGATGCCTGTCTCACCTCTCCCCAGTTGCCGTAGACCCACTGAGGACACGGCCCTGACTCACAGGTTCTCTGCTCATTGGGTCGATTGCGATCCTCACAGTTGTTGGCCGGGTAACCATTCTCATCCTGGCACACAACAACACGCCGCTGGAAGCCCCCTGCACATGTGCTGGAGCACTGCAGTAACAGGGAGAAGAAATGCACATTTAAAATTGACATTTTGAAAATCATGCAACAGCAAGCAAAACTCACAGCTGTAAAAATGACCAGATAAGCACAATCCCGAGCATAGAGAAATATTGAAAAACTGAAAGATGTCATGATTCTGAATCAATATTTAAAGCAGTGAATCGAACTGAGAATTTAAATGCAAACTTTTACTGTATTATTATTATTATTATTTTTGTGTGTATGATGAAATTCAAACTCCGACTGCTTGGTGGCAGCAGTTTTTATCACCTTCACTCTGATGGAACAACGAGATCTTGCAATAACACTGGATGGCTCTGGCCTGAGTTTTACAATAAAATCCAGTCTTAAAAATTGGAAATATTTTCTGTTTTAATATCGCAATATACTGAATCATCTCTCCTGTATCGTGACATATATCATATCATCAGATTGTTGCCACACACCTCTGGATGGATCCAAGGTGCAGCTTTATACTTGAAATAAATGAGCATCTCTACAGCTGCTTAAAACTATCATGAGAAACAAAGGAAAGACTCACAAAAAAGGCTTTTATTTCTCTGTCCAAAACAAGATGATCAGAGACTATTGCCAAAAGAAAATGTGATTTAGTAATCCTGTTACTTCCTTTTTTTTTTTCTTTTTTTTTTTTTTTTTTTTTTACAAAAAGCCACTTTTCTTGAAATCTTTTAAATCGGCCAATAACAAATTTTTTTTCAATCAATGTGCTGTGGTCACTAGAATGGATAAATGACTTATGAGTCATTTTCAGTGGGAAGACAGCTCTGGCACTCCTGTTTCAGGAAATCAATTGGTTGGGTTGGGACAGAGGAAGGGGGCAGGACTTGGCGTCTTCCTCATTAACATTTATGACATGCAAACATCTTGCCTCTGATTGGCCAACAACAATGCAACTATTCTTGCTTCCTCTGTTTGCTGTCTTAGTTTGCTCTTCTTTCTTGAGTAAAAGAAATGCAATGTTGATGTTTTATCTCCACAATTAACAAAATCCTGAAGGAGTTATGCTGTGCTGCAGAGTTGCTATTGCTAACGGTTAGCTTCTACTAGCCGAGATGCACTCTGATGTCTTCTGGCCGCTCAATCAACAACAGTCATCCACGGTCACAAGCCAAGGTTGGTGAGTGCATGAATGCAAATTTTACAGTGTGGCGTAGATCTGTGTGGCTTTTTCTGACCTGAGCATTTATTTCCTCGGTGGCTAATGCAGGCGATAGGGGTTGAAGAGTATTTTTTCATGATATCATGCATGATCAGTGACAGATTGTATTTCATAAAGAACAAGAATTATGTGTTTCTCAGTGAACCTCCTCTGTTTAAGTTGTAAAACAGACTTTTGATTCAATCATCACAAGTCTAGATGTAAAGCTGGTTTGATGAATTTACAGAACGAGCTAGGTTTTGAATGCAAACACAGACTCAGACCACTCACCCCGCCCCTCGGGTATATTCCCTAAGATGCTTCTGCCGGAACTGAAAATCTGCGATGCCGAACGAAACGAGAAATTTTGCTAAACACCAGTCGCCGTCTTCTAGGTCCAAACGTCTATTGCTGTCTGTGACTTCAAATGTTTTTCTTTCGGACTTCGGTAGTTTGTCCTAAAGTTGAAGCAGGTGGTAGCAGTAGGTGGAGAACCTCTCACACCAGTTGTGTTCTGCTGCTAAAAACACGAGTGTGTAATAAATAGAGAACCCAGGGAGGTGCCACAGTTTTGTGAGACCAACAACTGGATGGTCCAATAGTTATTTTCAGTTCGAAACGTGTTACTGGCAAACGTTTTTAGGCAAATGCAAGAGAACCAGTTTATTATTATTATTATTATTATTATTATTATTATTATTATTATTATTTATATATATTAATCTCCACAACATATTTATAGCTATACTATATTAGGACGTTAAGAAGCATGAAAAGCTAATTTTGTTCTTCACATTTACCATTGCAGTTCATGACACATTTAAAATGTGACATAAACTGCCTTTTTGTGTGTGAGATCCCTTACCGCACCCCAGGGTCCGGTACGCCATTGATGGGATTGGTCAGTGGGCAGGTTGCCCCTGGTGCTGGTGTCTGGTGAGGACGGTCGGGACACACTGGAACTGGACAGGCACTGAGACATGGCACAGTCCTGCTCTGTGGCAGGACGATCTTCAGCGTCACATTCGTTTGTGTTTACTTCCTGGTCACTGAAGTTAACGCACAGAACCTCTCGTGTTGTCTTCCCCTGCCCACAGGTCACGGAGCACTAAAACACAGAAACAGAAATGAAAGATTTAATTGCAAAAAGTCACTTTGGATGTGTAAAAATTTCTATAACTGACCAGGAGATAAATAACAAATGTCAGGAAACATTTCCAAGTAAATACAACAATTCTATGCAAAGGTTTTGATTCACCCCTCATTTCGTCCACATTTTCTTCCATGGAGCTCAATTTTCTTGCAATCCTTAAACGTTGCATGAACAGTACCTTTTTAAAGTCAATATCCCAACTAATAAAAGAAAACCTCGAAGCACTTCCAGAAACCTGGAGAGATATTGGACCATTCCTCTTTAAAATATAAAGAAGTTCTGTTTCCTTTGAAGCAAATATAAATAAATCAGACATGGCTCACAATGTATACACAAGACACAATTTCAGGATAGCAAGCTCCTTTATTTAACCTAACCAGGTTAGGTTTCTAGTTTTAGATTCGAGCAAAAATATTTTGAAAAGCGAGGAAAAAAATTCTACTCTGTCCAGACTTCAGCTGGTTCAAAATGCAGCAGCAAGGTTCTTGACTGCAGCTAATAGATGACACCACATTACACCCATCTCCAATGTCTTCACTGGTTGCCGGTTCAATTTAATAATGTTAAATTCTTGTTTTAGTTTTCAAGTCCTTAAAAGGTTCAGTCCCTTCCAATCTGAGTGTGTTGCTCCACCCCATCGCCCTCCTCGTCCCCTCAGGTATGCAGATCAGCTCCTCCTCACTGTTCCTAGGGCACGTTTCATGACTCACGGAGAAAAAGTCTTCTCCTTACGTGAAACTCTCTGCCCCTCCAGGTTTGGCATCGCCTTCATTCGTCGCTTTTAAATCTTGTCTGAAAATACACTTCTTCTCCTTGGCTTTTAATTCTTAAGCCTGGTTTTAGTATCGAGTCTATAGGTTTTCCTCCATCCCATTTGGAGTGTTCAAGTTGACCTTCATTGGTTATTTGTTATTATTTGTATGGTTCTAATTTGGTTTTTAGTCCTGTTTAAACCTGTTATGGTCTGCGTTCTGCGTCTCCCTCAAGTGCCTCCTTGTCTGCAGCCCCCTCCTGTTCTCCCTCCAGGTGTCCCCTTAGTGTGCTTAACAAATAAAAAGGTACATTTTCTGGGTCTGTTGCCATACCATCGGCTAAGAAAGAAACCAGGCACACCTTCATGGACAATAACACAAGGCAGATCATCCACCAACACGGGTTGCTTCTCCCTCAGGTCCTCCCTTACACAGTTCTGTTTCTGCCTTACATAAAACTGACTAATAAATTATGCAACAGCCATCCATTAAAAAGCAAAGCCTGGGATTACACTTTCCAGAGGTTTACACAGCTCTGTCAGAAGGGTTCTCATGACTAAGCCTACTATAAGATGGCCCTAAATGCAAGCAGCTGGTATTTGATGTGCTGTTTAATGAAGCATCTGGACAACAAGCTGTGAGGTACTCAGATCATGGAAAAAACAATAATGTGCTGTGACTGAAAAAAGATTTGTAAACGTAGGGTCAGCTGTGATAATGAATAGGACTTTGTCTTAGGCTTTTTTCCTGCCTTAGAATGAACTCTTCTCTTTCAGGCAGACATTGAGTGTTTGTGTGCACCGTGCATGGCGGCCAGACTTGAGGTCTGACTGTATCGTATCACCAGAACCATGATGAGAAACATCTGTAAACAAGACCAGAGCCTCTCAGCGAAGCTTCCTGCATCTCCCAGCTTCAGAAACATGTACCTCTCTCTCAGCTCCTCTTTCTCTTTCGAAGACACACACACACACACACACACACACACACACACACACACACACACACACACACACACACACACACACACACACACACATCCCACATCCTGGCTCATGGTTTATACGGCGTATGCTGAAGTGAGCTGAACGGGTTTAGATGTTGGGGACTTACTTACCGATGACCATTCCAGCACTTTCCACTGCCCACAAGCCACCACCAAGCACACCTCCCTGGCTGGGGGTTTTGGCAAGTGAGCGCATGCCGACTCTTCAGCAACACCACCCTGGTTGTCACGACAACTCACATAGCGCATCCGGGTCCCTTTGCCACAGCTGGCGCTACACTGTTCACAAGAATAGAAATGTTCTCAACGTGGAAACTATTACCAAATTAAATATCCAGGCAAGAGAAGAACCTACCTGAGTCCAGGAACCAAAGCGCCATTGGGTTTTGTGGCCCTGGTCAGAAGGGACTTTAGTTCCTGGGGTGACTGGGTGGCTGCTAGGACACTGGGCTAACTCGCAGTCCTGTAAAATATGAAAGATTTATAAAAGATCAACAAAACAAATGTACCAACATCTGAATATCCTTGACCTCCAGTAACAATCATTAGCTAATTTATATTTCTTCATCCCTGTGGTGCTACCCATCAGCCCTCCACCCCACCTTATAAAAACACCATTAACAGGGTCTGCCCTGTCAGTTCACACTATGGATGGCAGTAACCCACTCAGCATAAAGCCCTGATCCCTGTCATAACAGGTCATAGTGGAGTGGTATTCAGGGCTCCAATGCCCATGCTGGCGTGTTTAGAAACTCCACCCCTAATCCACCCCCTTGTCTTTCACCTTCCGCCTGCCCCCCTCCTCACCCCTGCCCTCTGGTGCCCTCTGACCCCCTGTGTCGAGGAATGAGGGCCTTAATCAGGTCGCACAGACTCTGAGTAGACTACACATTCCACACTCTGCTTCCTAAAAGAAACAAGTACGGCTCACCACCGTGCTTGGCGTAGCTCTACACACACTTCCTGGTGTACTCACATCAGGCTTATGGGAACTTAAGTTTGTAATAAAATCAATACATGGTTAAGTGTGTTTTTCCAGTCTTAACATGAACGTAAAAAGCCAGTAACCTCTACTTTCCATCCTTCTCCTCTCTTGTACAAAGTTTCAACCGTCTAAACGACCTTTTTTGAGCGCCATTTGGTGTCGGCTGGTGGAGGAACCAGTGGCATGGTGGCCCACTTCATGGCTGGCTGATCAGAGTCACAGCGAGGTGGGGCGACTGCTTCAGGGTCACTGGTCACCGGTCTCTAGCGACCCAGGCACCGGAATTAAGAGCTGCTGCAACTAGAGGGGGGCCTCATCCTGACTCTGCATGCTCAGCCCTCTGAAACAGGTTTACATCCCATGCTGACCAAACAAAACTCCCATTCAGCCCAAAATACTGCAAGTTTCCTTTGGAGTTTCTATGCCTGTGAATGCTCACTAAACATAGAAACCAACAAAGAACATTTTATAATTATGCCATTAATTGGGACCATTTGGCATAGATAGAAATTTTGAAATAGTGACATCACTGATAGTCTTGATCAGAAATATGTCACAAAAAACAATTTTCAATAAGCTTAACATATTTTAACCTGTCTTTTTACAATAAATGCTAATACTTTTGTAAGTCATGCTGCAGCTTTTACATGTAAATACAAATGAAATTACTAGGGATGTTCCTATTTCTTTTCCCTGATTAGAGTCAGTCCTTTGATGAAGTATCAGCTCAGGCTTGGTATTGGAAGATACTCAAAATCAAAGGAAAAGGAGAACACATCCAAGTTGTCCTTAAGGTTTATTTTTTTGTTATTATTTATATTTCTTTCTTTAGTCATTTTTTGATATTTTCTTTTGGTCTATTTAGTCATTTCCTTAACTTCTCTGCCAAAAAACATCACTCGTTCAGGACATACAATGATAAGAAGCATGCTTATATTTAGATTAAAATGAAAAGTATCTTCATTGCTTATATTTAAAATCAATTACTTCCTCAACGTGTTCCAATAACGGGGCAGACATGGCAGGCTCTGCACAATACCTATAACTCATACCGTGACTTAAAGTGCTCTAGGAGACTGCGAAATCCCATGTTTTGCTGTGCGTAGGCAATTTTATCTATCAGTGTCGGCTGGTTCCATGTTTTTGTCCGAGTTGCTGCAGTGAATGGAGAGTGTTAATGGTGAACTAGGACTTAATAGTTCACCGTGGATGATTCTCTATGGTGAAGCCTGAAGATAAAATCTAAAATAGAAAAAAGAAGTTTGTCTTTAAGGCGATTTTTTCTAATTTATGGTGTTGAAAGCAGCTTTGTCTTTTCCACTATGTAAAATGCCCCAGTGTGCACACATTACAAGCGGCTTTAGAACTGACTTCACTGTCTGGTTTAAAACACGTCCAAACTGAAGACATTTTTCTCTCTTGAGGTGACGTGTTAGCTCCACGTTAGCCTGCTAGCTAACATGAAATCCCCACCTGCAATACATTGTGCAATGTTACGGCGTTGTCCAAGAAACAGTGAAAACTGATGTTGCAAATAGTGGTAAAATGATAACAAGTTATTGTTATTCAGTTTGAAAATCCCTGTGTAAATTTAAAAGGTCATGCTTGTTGTTTTATATGGTTAAATCCAATATTTTCCACCCAATTCAAATTGTTTAAAGATTACATGATAGGTCCATATTTCAAATCCCGTGATAGGATCGGAGCTTCCTTAAAATTACTGGCGATAAAATGGATGAACAGCATTGTATAGCTTTGTTCTTTAATACTTTACAAATTGAAGCACAACTATTAAAACAATTAAATGAAATATACATCATCCATCTATCCATTTTCAGCCGCTTATCCGGGGTCCGGTCATGGGGCAGTAGCCTAAGCTGGGAGGCCCAGAATTCCCTCTCCCAGGCACTTGGGCCAACTCCTCTGGGATAATACTACGGCATTCCCTGGCCAGGTGAGAACAGTGTCCTGGGTCTTCTGTTAGGTCTTCTCCTAGAAAACCTCACCAGGGAGGCATCCAGGAGGCATCCTAACTGGATGCCCGAGCCACCTAAACTGGCTCCTCTCAATGTGGAGGAGCAGCGGGTCTACTCCGAGCCCTTCCCGGATGACCAAGTTTCTCACCCTATTTCTAAAGAAGAGCCCAGACACCAAACACAGAGATGCTAAGCAGGAGGAGACATTCCTTCTTTACCTGGGATTCAGTGGGTCTTGTAGCAGCGTTACATTCAGTGTCATCCATGACGGCACCATAAGAGCTAACCACACACTTCACAGCTCGCATCTGGTAACCTGGCCCACATGAGGTAGTACACTGGGAAGTAAACAGATAGTGGACATGACAAGAAGACCAGACACCACAAGTGATCAAACAGTGAAGAATAAAACTAAAACATCACCTATACAGTATTGAATTTATACAGAAATAAAACTGCAGTGGTCATTTTCCCACTGCTGTTAAGTCAAAGTGTAAAAGCCCCCCCCCCCCCCCCCCCCCCCCTCCTAGGCTCACTGGCTTCAGAGAAACAAGGTCAAGCTTGTGTGGCGGCAGCTTTAAACACCATTTGGCCACGCTTCATTAAACTGCTTCAAATGCATCTTAACATGCGTTCATTCTCTGAATGGAGGCACTGGAATATTTCACATTTTTGGGCGTTAAGTTTTTTTGAGTGCACAAACTGAGAATGCACGGAGACACTGTTCTGAATGAATCATTTTAGGAAGAGCTTTTATTACAGAGCTAGACGGACAGGGAGACAGACATCTAGCCTGGCCTGCCAGACTCCTCCTCTGTTTAATTCTGCACAGAGAAAGAGTCTGGGAACTCTCATGTTCAAATAACCCCACCCTCTGAGAATTCTAACCGAGCCACTCAGCGCTGAGTAGCGTACGTCACACCACAACGCCGAGTTTGTCGAACATGGCGACTGAACATCTTAGGTGTGTTCTTGCTGTGTCTTTCTAAATCCATGCTTTCGTTCTTTTTTAAACACAGAAACAGTTTTGTTTACCTGTTTGTAGCTACAGTTTCGCCGACGGCTGCCGGCTTCTTCAGGCTGACGCTGATGGCGAAACTGTAGCTACAAACAGGTAAACAAAACTGTTTCTGTGTTTAAAAAAGAACGAAAGCATGGATGGCGACTGAAGCAGAGTTCACTGCGGCTCTTTTATATGTTCTAAATGATTTGGACATGTCTTTAAAACGAGTAGAAGCACTAAAAGCATCTCTTCTAAGTAAAGATGTTTGCGCTGTCGCCAGTCTCCATTTTTGACTACGGCTGAAAAACTACAGCTTTGCAGACGTCACTCGACGCTGTTTCCCATAAACAACGAAGACAGCGGCAGAGTTCGCTGCGGCTCGTTCCTCTGTTCTAAATGACTCAAATGTCTTTAAAACAACAACAAGTAGAAGCGGTAAAAGCCTTTCTTCTTAAAAAATAAAAGATGTTTGTGCCGTTGCCAGACGCTTTTTTTTTTACTACAGCGTTGCGCGGTACAGTCGGCATTTCTGTCTTTTTTCTGATTGGTTATTTTTGAGCTGCCTAGTCCCGCCCCTCATGTGCCTCTCTGCCTGTGAGTTACCAGACTCTTTGTGCAGAATTAAACAGAGGACGAGTCTGGCAGGCCAGGCTAAGGGGCTCGACACACGGGAGGCGACAAACGACCGCGATCAGCGAAATTCGTCGCCGTCGCTTTTATTACCTGACGCACGGGAGACGACCCACGGCAGTGGCCAGCGGCAAAGCCGTCTACGCGTTCTGTTCCATGGCGAAAATGAAACTTCCGTTGTTTTGTTTGGCTGTGTCAGGTTGGAGGGAATTAAGGTTATTTATGCGGTTCAGAGTTTAAAAAGCGGTAGATATGATGTTTCACAAGGTGCTGCTAGAGTTGTGTGAAATCTTACTTCTGATTTTACTATATAAAACATAATAATCAACTTCTCCTCCATGTTTGCTCGGAGGTGTACGGAGCATCCTGTCTGCTCATTGGTCAGTGAATGAAACCTCCGTTGATTGGTCGTCGTCCGAGCGACAGCGATGAAAAGTTCAAAATATTTCAACTTTCTGGGATCGTGTCGCTGGGTCGCCTGTGCACGACATGTGCACGAGTGCAAAATTTCACACGCACATTTTTCGCGTTTCGCTTGGTAGGAGGGAGACCCGCGATTATCGCATGTCTCATTGAAAATGAATGGAGAGGCGATGTTGCCTCCCATGTGTCAAGCCCATAACAGACATCGCACCTATCTCTGTGTTGTTATTTTTGCTGGGAGGGTATTTCTAATGAGGTAGGGGTCATCATCTGTACTACATGATGAGCTGTGCTGATCTGTGGTTTACATGCGGGGGAGGAATAATCAGAGCAAAACTTGTGGTCTGCTGTGGTGCTGACCATTAACGCTAGCTTGTAAAAAAAAAAAGCTCTGGGCATTTGTTGCTGATATTTCTTCTTTCTATGTTACGTAAAATTGACCTAGAACAATTTTTTCACACTTGCAATCTGTTCTTTGAATCATAATCATCTCAATATCTCAAAATAATGAATAACATCACATTAAAACTAATAACAGTTGATACAGTAGATATGGCCGGATGCTTTATTTTTCTCAGTTAAGCTTGATCCAGAAACGTTCCTTTCAGTAAACTTTACCATTTGCAGAACCCGAACTGAACATAAGTGTCAGGCGGGTACGTTGCTCAACCTCAAGCGGCTGTTTCACCTTTTCTAAAATGTCATGTACTGATTTAAACCTTGGAAACAACGTGTGTTCTAATAAAAACCAGAGCCAACCCACCTGTCCCCATGGTCCGACTTGCCAAGAAGCACACTCCTGCTGTTGGCACGTCTGCACCGACTCGGGTTTGAGCGAGCCACAGAAGCGGTCGTCTAGACGGTCTTCGCCAAACTGACACCACGTCTGACGATGCTTGTAGCCCTTTCCACATGTTACAAGGCACTGACAGACAGATGTTTCACACCGTAGAGTCAAATATAGAGAGCAGTGCTTATTGTAGGCTGTTAGCAGTATTCTATAATTCAAATACTTTTTCAGAAGAGGTGTTCTGGCAATGGGTAACAACAGATATGCAGATCTAGGAGCTGTGGGTATTTTTGTGTGTGCACACATGTACACGGACAGCATATTTTTAGTGTTTGGCAGCAGCTCATGGGAGATCTGAAAAATTCTTGGAATGCGGACTACAAGTTTGCTAAATCTTTGCTCTGCAGTGGGCAGCAGCACAACTAGCACTTTCCCAAAATGCATTCGTAGTGAAGGGAGGAGAGTGACTCTCCAAGAAGAGCTGTGACTGAGACATTCAGCATCAGCTCTGGAATGAACAGAATATAAGACTGACCTCAGACCAGTCACCGGTCTTCCACTGTGGACAGAGGAAATCATTGCACGATTGGACAGTCAGCTTGTCCCTTTGATTGCATTTGCTCTCATCTCCACTACCCTCAGACGCCTTTCGACACATTGCCCCTCGGCGCCGGGTTCCCCCACCACAGCTTTTGGAGCACTGCAAAACAAACTTTAGAGCTTGAAGAACTTCAACATGATCTAATCTGTTCACACAGAAAAGCCCACAAACAAATCACACCTCAGACCAAGGCGTGTAGTCCCAGCCACCAGGGTTGCAGTCTCCATGACAACCTTCTTTGTCATCAGGTTTGCGCTGACCGCTGCAGTAGCGGTCATCAACTTTGTGCATCTCGCCATCAGCGTGACTGAACTTGGTGCAGTATATTTCCAGAGTGCGATATCCGGGACCACACTGGGCCGTGCACTCGCCCTTACGAGCCACGTGCCATCTGGGTCGAGAGGTACGAGATGAATCCTCTTCAGTGTTTTACAGACTTGGAGGACATTAGTGGAACAAGAGCTGGCTTTATTACTAACCTGAGTTCACATTCTGTGTTGCAGAGCTCAGTGATGACAGCGGGTCGAGTCGAACCATGACACCTCTGGTCCGACACCACCACCCGGTCCGATTCTCTGCTGCACAGAATTTTCCGCTTCCGCTCCCCTGTGAGGAGACAGGATCAGAGGACAGGTAAAGGTAAATGTTTGGTTCTAGCATCATTACAAATCTGTATGCACTGATGAAAGTATAAGTGATGTAACAGGTTCTGGTTTGTCCCGGGTGGCTGACTGGATCATTCCACGATTGAATTATTTTTTTATTATTATTTCAATATTTTAAACCAATTAAAAGTCACAGTCTGGACTAGAAGACACATTAATCTTATTAATTCTTATTGAACAAAGGCTTAAACTTTGTGTTTAATGTGAAGAAACAAACAAATGATCTATTAGCTAAATGTGACCTTTTATTTTATGAAAACCCTCTTTGATTTTTCATGATACTGCAGGACATTTTGAGATGCGTCAGCAGTTAGCAATATTTAGAAGAAGATAAAACTGTAGCTCAATGTTTGCTACATTTAGTGAGTTTAGCATGTTTATTCACTGTTAGCATCATCTTTAATTGGGTTAACTCCAAATGTAAAAATTTTGATAGAAATTCTAAACCAGTTATAATTTCTAAGTACCCAATTTTCTCTTTTTGATATCAGACCATAAAAAATATAAAGACTATAAAATAAAATAACTGTGAATTTTTCCTTTTTTCATCTTTACTCTTTTATAACAATTAAGAACAAAAGTGTCTTCTAAAACAGATCCTTTGTGCGGTGGAGAAAACATATTTAAAGCTCATGATACCAGGTACTGAATATGTTTTTGACTTTTGCATTTCAGTGCTGTGAGCTCTTGGCGAGTTCCTGCTAGGGACATTACATGTTGGCTGTTTATCTTGCTGGGAACTGGATTTTTTGGCTTCTCCTGGGAATATACTTCTGCTTGTTCCACCAGAGTTGTGTCAAAAGCAGAGAAAAAGATTTCTGCAAGTCGCAGAAAATAGGAGGTTTTGGAGTTTACCTGCAATCCACCTCTGCACACCTACACACTTGGTGTGATCCAAACAGTCTTGCCAAAAAAAAATTTTTTAGCACAACTTGAGCTACAGATCATTTTTATTCACTTAGTCACGAGCTATCGATCGAGCACAAAACTGATCAAGTTGTTATTCTTCCTCCTTTTTCTGTCTGAGGTCTCCTTTCCAACCATCATATATTGGCTCTAACCCCATTTATCCTTTGACCCTTTCCTAACCTGAGCCTGCCAACCACATGTGCCCCCCCCCCCCCCCCCCCTCACCTTGGCACAGGCGGCTGCACTCCTGCCAGGGCCCGTAAGCATCCCAGAAGAACAGCTGAGGCTCGTCCTCTATGGGGATATTAAAGGAGTACCTGACATGTGGGTTGAAAAGGCTCCCGACAGACAGCACCTGGGATAAAACGCAGGCGATATGATAAAGCAATACGCTAAAACACACGTTTTCCTGCTGGGAACAATCTTACAAAACAGAAGCATGAACCTCTTAAGGTTTAAGCAAGCAGAGACAATCTTCTCTCAACCTTTCTTATTTTCCTGATCTTTGAGGATAGTTCACCTGGATGACGATCTCCGCGTCGATGCGGTCAGTACAGTTGATCCTCTCGACGACATGGTCAGAGCCGCTGTACTCAATGACGGCCTCTCCCACTTTGATTTCCCTTTTGAACATGCTGACCACGTATTCTCCGTTAAGCAGGAATTCTCCACGGCTGTTGGATATAGCTGCAGGAAGGTGGAAATCATGTGACGCACGACCAGCTAACTTAATGCCATGGAAATTCTAAGACAGTAGTTCATATTACATTCACAGCAGAAAGGAGGCCCTTTTGGGTTAACGGTTTCCTCATTTCACGAAGAAGTCTCGTCCAGAGTCATCCTGCTCTGTTCACTAACCGCCGTTCTGCTCTCATCCTGTCTAATGCGATTATGGAGCTCATTTCCTGCCCTTACTTTCCTGACCATTTCACACATTACACTAATATGTCAAAAATGACATTTGCTCTAAGAAAAGAGAAGCGCCAAATGGGAAGTGGTTAACACCCCCATGAAGTCATGGACAAAACTTTAGGGAATGGCTCAAATGTTGATTTTTGATGATTTGCTGCTTCAGTGTGTTTTCTTTTCAAATGTTCCTGTGGTTTACTGATGTATGATTACAAGCTTTTTATAAGCGCCAAGGTCTTTTACTGTCAGCTGCATTAAGTTTATGCAAAAAATGTATATTTTGCAGTGGCAGCTCTTATTCTATCAGACCTCTGCAATTCAGCCTGGCATAATATTATGCAAAAATGCATATGTTGGCTTAGTTTTAGCACATGCCATCAAGTCAGACAAAGGGAACAGAAGCTTAGAAACTGACAGACCTCACTCACAGGTGGGGCTCTGGCCAATTAACAGTTTGGAGTGCTCACGGCTGAAAGCAGCTCAGATTAGCAGTTTAAGATTTCACAATAAAATCTGACATCAACAGCAGAGGAGAGGCAGACAATTACAGAGCAGGTGTTTTCCCCCTGCAGCAACATCCTTCAACAAAATGATTAAATTGTGAAAATATACAACAAATTTAAAGACACTTAGCCTCCTCACCGAGGTAGTTGTCATCCGCCGGCTTCCCTGAGTAGCTGTGTTGACGTACATCTATGTTTGTAGCACCACTGGGTATTCGGACGACTTCATTATAGCCTGGAAATGTGTTCAGATGGTTAGTATGCTTGTTTCAGAGCAGACCCCTAACCCCACACAAGCAAGCGGAGGCAATGCAACAGGAGCGATTGTCATGTATGTTTGTTGAAGAGGAGTTATGGGAAATGTTGTAGCTCACCATAATGTGTGGTGTTGAAGGTGCCTCCTACACTTTTGCAGGAAGAGTTATCACCTCCGCACACGCCACACTTGTCCCTCCTGGCCTTTGAGTTCAGCACATGATCACAACCTGCTTGCTGCTCAAACAGAAAAGGTGTGAAAGACTTTCCTTTGAAACAAATGTAGCAGGAAAATCAAGTCATTAAACCTTTAATGTCCTTATAAACCACACAGATGATTGTAAATAAACAAAAATGGTAAAATGTCGCTCATAACTGTTCTAAATCTTTCACGGTTCAGGACTTAAAAGGTGATTTTTCGCAATTATTTTCTCAATGTAAAATATTTTTTGGACAAAAAATTTTGGAAAATACAGATTTTTTTTATTAACTTGTTTCTTGTTTCATTGTTTAATGCACGGTGACACTAAGATTGCTCAAGACTTGATTATTAATATTCATATTCTGAATTCATTATATAATAACAACATAAACCTTCTGCTCGCAGACCTGTGAATGGATCCTACTGATCAGACGACATCTGTGTTAAGTTGTGCAAAAAATGGAAAACACACCAGTGGGTTTTTAAATCAAAGATACGTGATGGCATTAAGGTTCCTATGAAGGCAAGTTTGTCCCAAATTTTTGTCCAAAATCTGAAATTTTCTCATTTTCACTTTCTTTTCCCATAAAAGTTAATATTGTAATGCAACAAACTAATTCAGTCAACTAAAAAGAAGAAAATCAATAAAAATACCACATTAAAATCAATATCTTTTAAGGGTTTTAATAGGACTTTTGTCCTTTTACTCGTTATTAAAAACTTTTTAACTTTAACAAACAGACGAGTAAGTTTGCTTTGTAGAGAAGAAACATTTGATGTATGTGAACCTGCACGCTGAGCCACAGTTAACTCAAGTCTCTGTATGGATCCGAGTGCAAAGTCTTGGTGTGAACGGTATGTTAGTGAAGAAGTTTTCAAACCAGCAGAGATATGAAGAGGCTTGGAAACTGACTGAAGGATGCTGAAATCATTATGTGCACTGCACTTTGTTACAGTGCATGAAACAAAGATTTAGCGTTGACCTCACCCTGCACAGGCCCTGGACACAGATGTCGTTGGTGTCGGGTCCACACGGCGTGCCGTCGATGACCCTGTCCCTGAGCTGATAGTACGCTGTGCTGCCTGCAACTCTGCAGAACAGTTTGCACCTGTCCTTCATCAGGACTGAAAAGGGAAACCCAAATGTATTATTTTTAGCAGATAGAGTTCATTAGTTGTTGGAAAAAGAAAAAACAGTGACTCACTTCCGCTATATTTGGGCACCCAGCGAACATTAGGAGGTAGACCGTTGATGTTAAAGTGCCTGCCATCAAACGCAGCACATTGCTCCTCCCTGAAGTCCTTCTTTTGCTTAGAGCAGGGCTCAGAGTTACAGGAGCGAAACTTCATCCGACGACCAACACAATACATTCCTCCGTTCCTGGGCCTGTTGAGGGAAAGCATGGAGATGAGAGGCCTAACACTGACCTAAAAACCTGTATAGATGCTTCACACTTTGTTTTCTATTTCTAACTCTCTCTTGTTTTAGTCTGTTAATCCAGGGTGAAAGGCAGCACTCAGTGAGTCTGAATGATTGGTGCATTTACCATCGGAGAGCCTGATTTGATGAACACTTGCTATGGGAAGAATCCCCTTAAGCAGGTTTGATCAATGGAACATTGACTTTGGCAGCAAGCATGGAGACAAGCTTCACCTGGCATGCATGTCTACAAGGACTACTCACAAGGGCTGGTTGCATTCGCGCATGGCTATCTTTATGCCGCCGCCGCAGGTCCGTGAACAGGTACCGAAAGGACTCCAAACACCCCATGCTCCATCCACAGGCAGGGCGTTGTGCTCTCTGGCTATGCACAGGCCGTGTTTGCAGTGCTGCAGCAATAGTAAAGATTAAAATGAAAAAATTGATCCCAAGGGATGATAAAAGATAAAACCTGCTATTGCCTAAATGAAATAAATAGATTGTTTTGTTACTGAGTGCTCAGAAATTTGCTTTGTCATCTGATGTTGCGTCTAAAACTCTAACAAGATTTTTCATTCACAGGGCAACATATCTGTCTGCTCCTTTGAGCTTTGAGTTGTTTCCTGGTTATGAGTCTTTAGAAAAGTGGTAAAAATGTGTTAAAAGTATTATACTTATACGTAACACAGCCAGTCTCAAAGTCCATCAACCCAGACCCAGCCCACGGGTTATATCAGGGATTCATTAATAACATATTTGGATTTTAATGGCAATCTGGGTCTGAGATTATAATATAACCATGGCAACAAAAACAGAGGTTCATGTAAGATGCAATGAAAGGAAAAGCCCCGGTGGGGACTCGAACCTGCAACTCCTTAGCTGACCAACTTTTTTGTCTTTCTAAATTCTTCTTATAGGAACCAGTGTTCCTGATAAAAACATCAGCAGGAACATCTGCTGACATTCCTTCAGTCTATGTGAAGCTTACCTTCCCAGGTGAGCAGTCGGTGCCATCTGCCCACGGCATGTGATGCGTCCTGCAGCCCCGCTGGGCACTGTCTGGGCTAGTGCACCACAGCCGCCGACACTGAGTCTATTTGTAACACACACACACACACACACACACACACACACACACACACACACACACACACACACACACACACACACACACACACACACACACACACACACACACACACACACACACACTTTGCATTAATACTGGTGTTCCACATGCATTTAAGACTTTCACCTGCAGGTGAATGATTTTTCATTATCAGACAACATCCAGAGCTGACTCAGATGCTGCTGTTGCTGAAGCAGGCAGGTGTTCTCAGCCTGCTTGACCTTTTGGTCTTTGTAGGAAACATTAGGAATTTATAGTGTTGGATGGACTTTGAAAACCGTTATTTAACATTTGTTTAAATTTAAACATGATTTTCATCTGATAGTTTCATTACACGACTGGATTTTATCGTTAATCAAATTTGTTGATAAAAAAGCCTACTTTTTAAGTCTACGAGACAAATATCGAATCCAAATCTTTCATTAAAATTGACAAAAGAACACCTGACTAAGCAAATATTTTCTGAAAACCTTGACGATCACAGATTTGACAAATCAAAGCCTCGCACCAACTCTACTCACCATGTAGGGGCACACCTGCATCCCAGGGCCGAATATCAATTCGCACTGTTTATTGACACTGTATATCTTCCCAGGAAGCTGCTGCGAGAGACTGAAGGGCCTAGAAACGGGCTCGTCAAGCAAGCACTCACCATATCCTGTGCTATTAAGAAATAAAAATCAAATGACTTAAAGAAAAGGAGAGAAAACAAAAGAGACACAAACAGACAGAAAACACACTCAGTACAGCGGGAGTGGTCATTTTCTGTACATATACATCTTGACAGACATCTGCTGACGTTTATGCAGTTGTCAATAAAAGTTTAAGATCTGAGAGACGAAAGCAAAAGTCTGTGTCGTTGAGCTTTAAGGAGGAAATTTTAATTTATCATCCATCAGTGTGTTGAAATGACTTTGAAATGACAAAATCGAATCCTTTCCTTCCATCATGGATGAAAGCAGGCTCACTATTTGGCAAGAAGCTTATAAGATTTTAATTTAATTGTCTTTTAAATTCTCTTGGGATAATGTGTCTCCTTCATATTAAGGGATCTGTGTGTGTTTATCACTAGAAAACACTGTGTGAACAGATACACACGGGTAATGCGTTTGAACTGTAATGGTTGGTAAAATGTTTAAAGCTTAAATATTAACTAGTTGATGGTTATTTATGATGGTACTCTTACAGCAACGTGTTGTATCCTCATAACAGGATTATTGACCAATTTCAGGATTCTTTTTTCCCCACTTGTCAAGCACTTTCACTT